CCACGTTCTAGTAAGGCATCTGGCCCAAATGCTGTTAAGTTTAAGAGCTATTTAGGACTACTAGCTCGACACCATGTTTCGATTACTACTCCATCTTGGGATGATGTAGAGGAAACCGAGAAGAACCTCATGTGGCAGGATGTTCAGGTATTTCTATATTTTTTGAATACTTTATATATCATTATTAATTGAATTTAACATTTATTGGTCATTTCACAGCAAAATTTTGATGTTCCTAACACTACGGTGATGAGGAAGAAGATTTTATCCTCCATTGCCATTAGATGGAGGGACTTTAAGACTTTCTTGACACGGGAGTATGTATTTGGAAAGTTTCAAGATGAATCTCCCTGTCTAAAGTATCAAATTAGTGAGGAGGATTGGTTACAGTTTTGTGTCAGCCGAATGGAACCCTCTTGGAAGGATAAAAGACATGCTGCCCAACAACGTCAGAGGTTGAATGATGCACCCCATGTATTGTCACGAGGAGGGTATGCATTATTGGAGCAACGTCTCATGAAAGCCAGAGAAGAATCAACAGGAGTTTAGTCTACTGACCTTGCATCTCCACCCCCTCGCTATGAGATGTGGAAGGCAGCCCAGACAAAATCTGATGGACAAATGACTTCTGAGTCTGCACGAATCATTGCTCAGAAAATCGTAAGTTATAATGTCAATTTGAATTGATTTTAATGTGAAAGTTAGTGTATGACTTAATTATTGTTAATGTGTTGTAGGATGATTTAGTTGAGCAGAGCACCCAAGGATCATTTATTCCTCATGGTCGACAAGATATATTGGCGACGACCATAGGAAAACCAGATTACTCGGGACGTGTGCGTGGTGCTGGTGGATCCCGGGGCCTTCGTGATTACTTTGGTCCAACATCACGTAGGACCACTACTCGACTCTTGCAGCCAGGAGGCCTTGCATAAAATGGAGATGCGGTTTGAAGAAAAGTTATATCAAATAAGGCGAGTCCTTGCGGCAAGAGTTTGATGAAAAAATTGAATCTCTCGCCCGCTCTCGGCAACGAGACTCAAGGAACACCTCAAACAATTGAACTTGATGTTGTTCGAGTCAGCACTAAAGGGAGTTGTGCTGCTACTACTACTGATCCTTCAGGAGAATATACTCAGACTGATGCATCACACAAGTGTGAGTTATATGTTGAAGATGACCCCCCGCGTCTAGTGGCTATTGGTCGAGTTTTTTAGGGTGGTTTAACCATCCATGGTGTCCCTCTACAGGCAGACTGGACACGAGTAGTAGTTGATGAAGTTGATGATGCTAATGCTCCAGTGCCTTTTCCTATTGAAGAGATTCAATTAGTGGGACAGGCAAGCGGGACATTCTTGGCTTGGCCAAGACGTTTGGTTATGCCACTATCAGCACATACCAAGGTAATATATATATATATATATATATATATATATATATATTGTCTATTTTCTCTTTTCTAGTATTATAATTATATAAATGTTTAATTAATTGTTATCATTTGTTTAGGAGGACTTGCGTCGTGCTAAGCATAAAAAACAACCTATTATTGATGAGGATTTGACGAGAATGTGATGATGATCCCATCTCTATGTTGTTGACCATATTACCACGGTTGAGGAAGAGGCACGTGTCGGATAATATGGGATGTTAGAGTGTTTGGAATTGACAATTCCAGTGTTCCATTATACATTTCCTTGCCCGATGCTTTAGAAATTGCTTGGGGAAATTGCATGTTAAACATTTCCATCATACAATTGTGGGCAATGTAAGTCATTCTCATTTATGTTTCTAAGATTATAATAATTATATTCAACTTATAATTAATTGTTTTAGGTACATTGACAAATTGAGTGTGGAACAAGAAAAATCCGAAGTATACGGATTTATTGAGCCTCAATCCATCCAAAACTCTGGAAATACAAAGGTTGGAATCCAACAATATATGCAAACATGGATGAGTGACTCAAAAAGACATATATATTTGGCTCCATACATTGAAGGGTTAGTATTTTAATTTATATTTTTGTAACTAATTTTTATGTCATACAATGTAGGTCCCATTAGTTAATTGTAATCATACCCGGGATTACACTCGTGGTGTGGTTTTGTTCATTACATCGAAAACGAGTCAAGAAATGAAAAACTTATTACAAGGGTAACTTTATCTTTTATTCATTAATTATGTTTTTAAATTGTAAATACATATTGAATAATATATGACTTTTTTCACTTAGAATCGATATGCTGGAACTAATGTTCTAAGTGGAAAACCTAGAACAAAGACTTTGCGAGTTCATTTATCCTAAGGTTAGAAACTTATTTATATAAGTGAATACCATAATTATTGTTTGTATTTAAATTTTGAAAATAACATTATGTTTTTTTCATCATTTCGATGTAATAAGCAAACAGACTCGTTTGAATGTGGTTACTATGTGATGTATTGGATGAGAGCCATAGTTTGTGCGGGTATAATTGATTCTTGGACTGGAGGTAATTGCTTTTAACATTAGTTAAGTTTATTTAACTTTATTCATGTTGCATGTTTACAAGAGTCAAATTAATGTTTCAGATATTTCAAGATCCATCTCCATTACCGGAATATGATATTACACAAATTAGAGAACAATGGGCAAAATTTTTTGTTCAACAATTCTAGTACATAATTTTTTAAGTTCTTGTTCATATTATATTGTGTGTATTATGTAGTTTAGGTAGCTTAGTTTGTATTAACTTTTAGTTTGTAATAGATTTTTTAGTTTGTATGTTTGTATTATATTGTTTTATTATGTAGTTTGAATTATATAATATTATATTTTTAATTTACTAGCTAAAGAAAATTGAACATCTGGATCTGTCTGGTTGTAATATATATTTGCAGGTTTTAGTTGTAAAACAGAATCAACCAAATTTAAAAAAAACAGCAAATTTACGTCGCATATTGGTATATGTGACGTAAATTTACGTCGCATATACCATATGCGACGTAAATTTGCTATTTTTTTAAAATTTCTGAAAGTTTTTACGTCTATTTAATGGTATATGCAACGCAAAATTACGTCGGATCTTGATAAGCGACGTAAATTTACGTCAGGCTAAAGGGTCCGACGTAAATTTACGTCTCCCGTTTTAACGTCAGTCTTAAATACGACGTAAAAAACCCTAAATACTTGACGTAAAAGCTCATTTTTGCACTAGTAAGCACTATTAAAATATAATATATTCATTCTTTATTCTTGTATTTCGTTTATATATATATATATATATATATATATATATATATATATATATATATATATATATATATATATATATATATATATATATATATATATATATATATATATATATTAGGCAATTTTATTTATCATCATTAGATAGAATAGAACATGTAGAATCTAACTAACTATTTACTTGGATGGATATTATATATTTTAACGAGACAAATGGCTTGTAAAAGTAAATTATGCATGAATATGATGAAATTCTTGCACCAAATATGAGACACATTCAATTTTCATAACCCGAATCTCTTCCTTGTGGTTGTGGATTGAACCACCTTGCTTTGCTATGAACTCAAATTTATATGGACTATGGTTGAGATTGGAATTGATTGAGGCATTACTTCCTCAAATACTTCCTCTTTAACCTCCCCAAACCATGCATCTTCTGTTCCCATCCTCTTAACTTCTTCTAAACTCTCTGTTACACCAGATTCTTAGACCTATTTAGTTCATCTTTAATGCAACATTTAGATCATAGTCAATGTAGCTTAAAGTTAGGTGCCTAAAAGTTATTTAATAAATTTTACAGCTGAAGTAAATTATAGGTCAATGTTGAGATTTATCAAATAAAGTCGCACATATATTATAATTCACTGTTTTTGTATTTCTTTTATTCTATTTCTCTCTTTATATATATATATATATATATATATATATATATATATATATATATATATATATATATTACGAAGTACATTAAATATAAGTTAAAGCTTATATAATGTATTTAGTTTCCTTTTGTAGGCAAATGGTCCTAAAACTTCGTGTCAACCCTCATGAACCTCCTTAGGAATTGCAAAATATTTCACATAGCTTTATATATTCAATTTTAATTTATTTATATGTGCGAACTAAAATATGTATACAAACTTTGTGTTCATCAATTTGATTAAAAAGATTAAAAAAAAATTGACTAGAGAGATTAAAAATATATGAAAAACTGAAAAGTAAGAAAAAAAGAATAATATAATAAACTAATTGATATAAAATATTAAAAAAGATAAAAAAATTAAAAAATTGGTAAAAGAAAAGTAAAAATAGTAAAATATAAAAAACTGACCATATATATAGAAAAGAAAAAAAATACTTTTAAAATATTAATATTTTAAAATTTATATTTAAATATAAAGTCGGGACAAGTAACAAGGTTTGAGTAAAAATTGCATTATCCATCCCGCACCCACCCCGTCCCCGGTCAATTTAATTTTACTCCGTAAAATTTAGGACAATAACGACAGGTTTCACACATGCGGATCTAATTGTTATTCCTTGATAAATTTTCTACCCTGCACTTTTATTTTAGTGGATACTGGTACCTTTTGCAAGTAAAACAAATAAATAGTCATTAAAAAAAAGGTAAACCAATAGATGATAAACACATATGGTTCATCAACTTATAATGTATAATAGATAAAATAAACCTTGAGAAAACATTTAGCAACTATAAATATCAAACACCATTAACTAAATTTCAACTTCATTGATTCAAGAAAAAAAATAGCATGCCCTCTCTTCCATTGAAGGAGCAGCATGACTTTAAAGGTAATTAGTGACTAACATGATCTATAGGTACACAAACCCTTGTACACCAGAACATTAAACAAACGAAAATATTAAACGAAACAATTATAAATACATGCATAAAAATATATACTGAATTGTTATGAGGTTAAAACTGAAATCTTCGTAACATTTTGTGTGTGTTAATGGCTTTCAAGTATTGCATCTATCTCTGCACTTGTTAGCGCAGAAGTTCTCTTCCTTAGAGTGACTAGGGTTGATGCATTCAGAAATGCACTTTGCATAACAATGTCGAGTTGATTGTGTTGCTTCGTTATCGTTATTCGCATTTCCACGTTCCACCACATGTTGAGACTGACCATATCTGTTGCCAGGAGTGTATCCTTTAGAAGCATCCGGTCTAATAACAGTTACAATACGAGCGTTGCTCGCCATGAACATGGTGGCAACCAAGAGGATCAATGCAACTTCTTTATAACTCATTCTGTTAATTCTTTGTGTCAAGGTTGGTTTGCTTCATGCACCAAGAGAGAGGAAAAAAACAAACCTTAATAACATGTGGGGTGTGCTTAATTGGGTGCGTTGGGGTCGTGAATGACGACGCTATGGAAGCATCTATTTTTTGACATGAAAATATTTAGATTGGTGAATGTGTGTTCTCGTGGCCTTTCTCTCTAAAACTTGTACTAAATTAATAGTGTTGACTTCTTTCTCTGTCTTTTCTCTTCTTTGTGGATTATTTTCCTCTGTCATCGCCCACCACTAAAATATTATAATCTAAGGCATTTTGTGACGATTCTAAAATACTATAAATTTCCTTTTCTATTAATAATATGACTTTCTGATGGTAATTTTGTTTGATGTTGGCCTCTCAATTATTATGAAGGTGTGAGAAATATTTGCATCTATATATATTGTTTGCAAAGAAAAGGTAGGTCCCCCACAAATCCATATGAAGTAGTTAATCAACTAGAGGATGACGGTCTTTATCTTCGTCTCTGTGAAGATCCAATTTAGTCCATTTGGCACGCCTTAAGAAAAGGAAGAGAGCTCCAGCTTGACATAGCAGCCCACAAATCAGACCAATCCATAAACCCTATAGATTTTAAGACAAGCATTGTAATAAAACATAATTATGAATGCGAAAATTCTCAGAATCAAGTTGATTCTCCAAGATATCAGAACAAAAAGAATCAGAATGTTGTCTACCTTGTACTGCAAATTGGTCTTAAATCCCAGGAGACACGATATTGGTAAACCAACAAGATAAAAAGTTGCAAGGTTAATATATGCAGTGGAGTGTTGCAGGCCACATCCTCTAGCTGCCCCTGTAGCATTAAACACAAATTTCACCTAAGAATTTGATGTTTTTGAGATTTAATATAATTTCTTGGTTTTTAACGTTCAGAATAACTTTCCGGAACATAGTAATTCTTTTTAAACAAATAAGGGATCAGGTCAAACAATTAAAGGAGTCAGACAAAGGAAATTGGACAGAAACATCAAAAGATGATAGAGTAATGTTTGAAATTCAAACCTTGCATGACACCTTGGACAGCATCTAGGACTATGGAAATGGCAAGCAAGGGTGTTACTGAAGTAAACTCATCTTTAATTTTAGAACTATCACTGAAAAGCTGAATCCAGATATTGTGTCCAAATCCAAGTGCCAAAGCAAAACAGAAACTAAGGAGGAAAGAGAGCTTGACAGTGACATTCATTGCATGTTTAGCTCCTTCTGGATTGCCTGCTCCCAATTCATTGGATACTCTTGTGCTATCCAAGTTAAATTTCAAGTGTTCAATTCATGTACGATAATGTTGATTCAGAACAAAAGAAAAAATGCAAGCAAACAAGAACGTGTTCAACTAACCTTGCAGCCGCACCGAGACCAACAGGGATCATGTATGCAATGAATTGTGTGTTTAAACTGCAGATTTTGAAGATTATAAGAATAATAAAATATATGAACCTTTCGTGTTTTTTAGAGGAACAGATGTATATGGCTATTTAGAACTATACCATATTGCCACCAACGAAGTTGTTATCTGTGAGTCGGGCAGTAGACCACCTAAGAAAACCAGAACTTCAAAAGCCCAATACTCCAAACTTGCATGGCATAAACAACAGATAGTATGATGATAATTACAAAAATATTCTCATAATTTGAATTGCAGAAAGTGTTTCAATATATAAGGTATGTCATGTTTCTTTAGCAAATTAGGCTACTTCTCTTCATTTAGCAAAGATCAATAGTCAAAAGGACTAGCAAAGTGAAAGGTTGTCAGTGACTCGTACCATACCATTGCAGCAGATGGCAGAGCTAGTTTCATGTTTGTGATTACATAATGGAATGAATGCATTGAAAATCCTTGCCATGTCTGCTTGAACTTCTTAGCATACATGACATACAAGGCCAATAATAGCATTGATATCCATTGTGAAATAGAAGCTGCAACTGGTGCACCTTTAAAACTCAGACCTGACCACTGAACCAAGGCATATGCAATACCAATATGAATCAACAATGGAAGAGCTGAAAGTGCAACCAATGGCATTACCACAGATTGTGTCTGGAGAAACCTCAGGATATTTTGCAAGAAGCTATATGCAAATAATCCTGGGATCAGAAACTTCATATAAAGAGCAGTTGTTCTTGCGATGTCCTGAGATTGATGAAGCAACACCAGGATTGGTTCTGTATAGAACAAAATAATGGATATAATGATGGAAAAAATAAGAGATATGATGCAAGAGGCTTGTAGGTAAATTCCCAACACTTGGTATTCCTTTGCGCCAAATCCTTGCCCACACAGTGTTTCTAGTGCCCCACTCAAACCAACCTATGAATAGAATAAAGGAATGATCAAGGAGATTAATCTGGTAACACCATTTAGTCTTGTTGCATTCAGTTCAACGAGCTCCAAGACAATGTTATGATCTTAAGTTTGTATTAAGATTCATGAGTCAGAATTCAGTATACAAAGAAAGATTAGAAACAATAATTGATACTTCTGTATAATTATTACTGTACTAATTCTAGACACCAAAGAAAAAACACACACATACACAGGCCTAAGTTTTTTTGTTTTTTCTTTTTTAGAATTGGCACTGTTAAATGAATTTTAAACATTAGAAGTGAGCAATTCGTTATGCTGCCTTTCCACAATTTGTAGAGATTTGTGAAACTCATCTCTCAGCAACTTCTGACATTGAAATATTTGTCATGTCTATTAGTATGATTCTTCTATGATTCCACGAACTAAATGCATAGATTAAGAGGCTGAAAATAGAAAGCTTTGTTATTAATAATTATTTATGATATTATAAGAAAGGATTTTGAGAAGAGAGGGAGGAATTACCATGACTGCAGAGCCAGTAACATTGAACCATGAGTTTGCTAGAGTAGCACCAGCAAGCTGAAGATCTCCGAGGTGACCAACTAGCATGACAGAAACCGAAGTGATAAAGTAATAGAACATGTTAGTAAGAATCATTGGAAGTGAAAACAAGAGTTGATTCTTGGCCTCTTCCATGTCCAACACTCTATTCAACCACCCCCTAACTTGGGGTATTGTGTTTTCTTTTCCATCATCAGTTACCCTTAGTAGAGGTGTTGTTGTGCCATCTGAATTGGGACTTTCTTCCATCTTATCTATCTCCTCTTTCATCTGCTCTATGCTATCTGTGTGTGATGAGGAAGCACTTCAATGATTGGTGATCCCTATATATATATCGTCAAACAATTTTATTGTACAAAAATTGCTTTATGACAGATAACCTCTTAAAGTTTCACAAATGTTTTTTGTGTTTAATGAAGAATATGAGAAATAACTTTGTTCATCCTAAGTGCTCGTGCAGTTTTTGTCTTGTTCTAAATTAATTTTCTTCGGGTTGAAGCCAATGCCACGAAATGAATTTCTTTTCATAATTTCCACTGCCTTTGTCTTATTTAATAGATTTATCTAAGTCTTTAAGTTAAAATATTCATTATTCAAATATTCTTGAGTATGTTAATGTTTGTCTGATCCTGCTCCTATCAGATCTAAGCCATATGAGAACATTTATTTCTTTTATGAATTCACCTCCTTTCACTAAACTTATTATATTCAGTAAATTTGATAATGGTTGTCAGATCGCATGCTTAAGCAAGCATACTGATTGAACGAGTAGTAAATTCACAAGTTGAATCAGATATAGTTTTTTTTATGTTATATAGTCTAGGTAGAACAAGACAATAGTTCTGAAAATAAATATAAGACTGTTGTTTATTAATTTTTCCAATTATGTGATGAGGGTGAGAAGTTAAGGATTGCAATCCGTTGTGTCATTCTTTTTTATAATTTCACCCAAAATCCAATACAAGGATATTTAGAGGAGATAAAATTTACATTAAAAAAAAAAACAAAAATATAGGTTCAAATCCATTTGTAATCAACCTTGGAACGAACCGATATACACTATGGTAAGCTAACATAAATACATATTTACATAAAAATCTACTTGTAGGGTATATATATATATATATATATATATATATATATATATATATATATATATATATATATATATATATATATATATATATATATATATATATATATATATATATATATATATATATATATATATATATATATATATATATATATATAAACAATAGTAATAATAATAAAATATATAAAAAATAAATTAATGTCTTGTAGTTTAGGTTGAAATTTATTATTGAAAAAAAATTATACCATTTGTGATGGGAATTTTTAGGGTTTTGTATATGTGTATTTATGATATATTATGTGGTTTTCTATTCATGTACTCTATATATATATATATATATATATATATATATATATATATATATATATATATATATATATATATAGAGAGAGAGAGAGAGAGAGAGAGAGAGTAAAAATATTACAAAATATCAAATATCAATAATATCTCAATCATGTCAAAATCAAAATAATAACTTAATATAATTTTACCTTCTCTCTTAAAAGATAATAAAATCTCTCAATATATAATTTAAATAAAAGATAATAAAGTAATATTCCCAACATTCCTCCTTACTTTAGTATCTATTTATTTGAATTTGATATTCTTTCTTTTATTTTGCTTAGAATTTTTCCTCCTTTTTTTGTTTGTATTTCTTGTCATCTTCCTTTTTGTATGGGATCACATCTTCGTTCAACTTTATTTTCTTCATCAAAGTATTTATTCTTTTATCAACTTCATCTCCTTTGTTTCTTTCAAACTTCATAGTAGTATTGTTGACTCTTTGATGGACGTTGAAAACAGTTTCTTCATCTACATCGTTATCATCAAGTTCCTTCAATAAATCTTCTTCATGCTTTTTCTTTGACTTTTCTTTTATATCTTCATTTGTAATCAACTATTCTTTCATCAAATCTAAAGTAAAACTTTTTCCTTTCATGTGAACTTTGAATAAGTTATTTGTATCTTTAATCACACAAAGTTTGTGTTCAAAAGACACCTTATAACTTTTCTCCAATAATTGAGTAACACTTAACAAATTATGATTAATATTAGAAACATATAAAACATCAAAAATTAATTTGATACCCGAATGACTTTTAACTGCAATTGTTCCCGTACCTTTCACATCTATTTGTTCTCCATTACTGATTCTCACTTTAGAAATATGTGATTCGTTGAGCTCTTTGAAAAATTCTCGATCATGAGTCATGTTGTTTGTAACCACTGTCTATAAATCAACATGTGGATTTGTTGATTGTAGAGCATGTTGATGCAAGGAGAAGTTCTCCTTCTACTCCATCCTCTATAACTTGAAGAAGTTTCCCTTCTACTTCATCCTCTATAATCTTGACGGCTTCTTCTGGTTGTGATTTGCATATCTTTTCTATATATCCCAATTGACCACATTTTCGACATTTCACATTAGGGCTCCACCAACACTTGTTAGGTGTGTGATTATTTTTCTTGCAATAAGGACAAACAAAAAAGACTCATGATTTTGTACCTTTGTTGTTCTTGGCTTGGAGAGAACATCCATCATGATATAGTAAAGAACCTTCACCAGCAGCATGATCTTCTATCATCAATCTTCGTTGCTCTTGCACTTGTAAAGCATGTAGCACTTCCACCAAAGTAATATTAGACAAATCCTTTGTATTTTCCAATGAAGCAATAAATGCTTCATATATCTCTGACACATTAACCAGAATTTTCTCAATTATTCTCAACTATTCTAGAATCAGAAAATTCTTTGCCTAACAATTTTATTTTGTTAGTAATACCTAACAATTTGTTTCAGTATTCATTAATTGTTTGAGACTCTTGCATCTTTTGTATCTCAAATTCCCTTATCAAGTTTAAAACTTTCATACCTTGAATTTTTTCATCTCCTTCATATTGATCTTTCAAATAATCCCAAATTTATTTGGGTGACTTTAGCATCATGACTATGGTGAGGATCATTTGTGAAACACCAAGAAACAGACATGATTTAGTTTTTACCTTCATCGTTTTTCTTTCTCTATGAAATTTCATTTCAGCTATGGTGGGATTTTCAGGTAGTAGATCAACAATATAATCTTCTTCTATAGCTTTCCATACATCTAATCCTTCAAGATAAGATTGCATTCTCACAGCCCATAAGTCATAACTTTTGCCATTAAAAACTGGAATAGCGACTTGTGGAAGATTTCTTTCTCCTTCCATTGTATCGAACCAAAGCTCTGATACCACTGATGAGAATTTTTAGGATTTTGTATATGTGTATTTCTAATATATTATGTGAATATATTTCTATTCATGTACTCTATGTATATATAGAGTAAAAATATTACAAAATATTAAATATCAATAATATCTCAATCATAACTGCCTAAATCAAAATAATAATCTAATATCTTTTTACCTTCTCTCTTAAAAGATAATAAAATCTCTTAATATATAATTTAAATAAAAGATAATAAAGTAATATTCCCAACAATTTGTTCATGTATAAGAAACAAACGTCACATTTAAAAATAATATATAAAACATTTAAAATAAACTAATATTTTAAATAAAACAACAATTCAAAAACATAATATCATAATAATGTATATTAACAATTGACCATCACAATTTTAATGATTATATCATCACCTAAAGTGATATAAAAGTTTTACATATATTTCAACTAGTCAATTCATAAACATTATATTACCTTATTAACATCATCATCTCATTAATATCAAGAATACACATGGTGTACAAGCACTAAATATCCCTTACAAAGTTTCACATCATGTCTCTGCACATAAACACCACACAAGTCTCGCAAGGGCTCCCCATTTTAACACTATAAACTAACACCATACAAGTTTTGCAAGGGCTCTACAATATCAAACAATATATAAATATTCTTGATGACTTTCAAAAGATTGCATTGAATTCAAACTCAAAAATTGACATTTATCATATTTACCTTGTAGATGTGATATATTACATTTTCAAAAAAAACAACTAACATCACCCAAAATTTACATACAATGAGATAACTTCTATTGAATATTTATTAAGTAGTCAATGACATAATTTTATCTCCAATTAGATGACAAGAACCTCCATTGGCTCTTTACCACTTAATACATTAATCTATGTGATTTAAGAGTATCACTAAAACCTGAATATCTATTATAATAGAGTTGCATAACTTAATACTCACAATATACTTAACCAACAACTCAATAGTACCTCTTTCATAACTATTATTTTTATCAACATCATATACAAACCACACAATTAATCTTTTGAAATAACCTTTTCCAATTCATCCTTCTCATTTTCAACACATCCATTAAATGTTAATCACATAAATGATCATTTAATAGAATTGTATACTCATGAAAGGTTATAATTATATTTTAAAGCTATAGTAATAAAATATAAACACCATAATCTAAACCACAACTTTAATACCTAGTCATTTTTAAGAAATTTAATTAGGAAAACATTTTTAAGTTTTTTAAAAACACACACACATACATACAAATACACAGGCACATGTAGACAAAAATACACAATCACTTCATCGTCATCTGAAGAAGGGTTCTTCAAAATAAGTGGTGAAGAATCGCCACTTGATTTCTAGAAATCAATATAAGATTCAAAGAATATAAAATCACAAACACAAATGTTTCTTTCTCGAACTTAAATTCTCATATATGACATAAAAGTGATTTTGCAAGAGAGGACATGGTTATTTAAATCCTTTCATAATTGAAATTGCAATTCAAATGAAATGAACATTGAAATGAAATAAAACTAGAAGAGAGGAAAACTTAAATTCAAATTTGAGTGTAATCTTGACTCTAAGATATTTCTAGCCATGTGATATCTTATTTTTTGCTCCAAAAATCATCTCTTGACCGTTTGATCTAAGAAGAGGTGTGTTACATGTTAGGTTCACAGTTTCCTTGATTTGTTTCAAGTGATTCTTCTCCTTGGCCAAAATTATACTCTCCTTGGTTGGCCCAAATAAAGGTCCAAAATAATTTCAAACTACAAAAGAATCCCTAGATTACTATTGAAAATAATAAAATCATAATTACCATTTAATAAAAACAAAGATATATTTTTGTGAACAAGAGTATATTTTCTTCTCATACTCATTGTTACTTTTCTTGGAATTATATAC